GGGAGGAAGGATACCACCTGGCACGGCAGCTTGAAGCCCAGGCACCAGGACAGAGGCAGGACCCGGCTCAGTTTCCAAAGCCCCAGGAAGAGGCACAAACACAGTCTTGGGTGGACTTGCAGCGTCCAGAGCTAGAAGGTTGGTTATTTTGCTTCCCAGCAGGTGGTCTTGGGAGGCCCCTGCAGCAGGGGCCCCAGTTCAAGACCCTGAAACAATACATTTTCCACAGAGCCCCTCAAGGATAGGAAGGCTAAGTTTGTCTAAACCCAGCTGGAGGCACTCAGGAAGAAAGGCCTGGTGATCTTGCTCTGCCAGGTCACGGCCCATGGGCTGCAGTTCCAGTTGGACACATGTGGGCCAAAAGCAGCACCTAACACACATACGTGACCCACTGCTATCGGGCCGATCCTGACTTACAGCGAGGCACCCCTAAGACAGTAGAACTGCTCCTCGGGCGTCTCCCACGCTGTCCTCTGTACAGAAGCAGACGGCCTCGTCTTTCTCCTTAGAGCCACTGGTGGGATTCGAACCGCTGACCTTTCAGGTAGCAGCTGAATACTTAACCAGAGATGTGGGCGCGTACGCACGCATGCACACACGCACGCACGCTATGCCACCCCTTGTCTGTGTCAGTTTGTCGTACTGTGGTGGCTGTGATGCTGGCAGCTATGCCACTGGTCTTTCAAATGCCAGCAGGGTCGCCCACAGTGAGCATCTTCAGCAGAGCTTCCAGAGTACAAAAAAGAGGCAGACTGCCGCCAGGATGGATGACACCCGTTTGCAACAACAGACTGGAACCTACCCTGTGAGGGTGGCGCGGGACCAGGCAGGGCTTGGTTGTTTTCATCACAGGACGGCACGTGACAATAAACACATGCACAGGTACACACGTGCGCACACGCGTGCACATACATGCAGACGATGGGGCTTCATCAAGCTGATGCAAAGTCTATTCTCTTTCAGTTCTGTTTCCCATGAACTTTTTTTCTTTTAATCATTTTATTGGGGGCTCTTACAACAATCCACACATCCGCT